TTAATCTATGTTGCCTGTCTGTCTATCAATCTATCTATCTACCTAGCTGCCTTTATCCATCTATCTATCCATTCATCCATCCAACTTGACAACGTCAAAAACGGAACAATTCTGCGAGACATCCGCAATTTTTGAAGTTGACAACATCAAAAACGAAGCAATTCTGCGAGACGTCCTTGAAAAATGGAAAGTTGAGTGCAGAACTGACGGCCTCGTACCAATGCGTTTTGCGATTTTTCCACTCCATCTGTCTAAAGTATTGCGCCTGTCACGAACAAGTGATGCCAGGTCATACGAAGTGCTGCACCTGTCACACAAAATCATCCCAGCAAACCTGAAGATCTGATGCTCCAAAATGCAACCCCTCTCAGGAAATCAGCGCCCGGACCTCCTACCAGCTCTGATGAACATGTCTCTTGTACTGCGCCTGCCATGGAAAATGCATCTTTGCAGATCCTCTTCAAATGTCCGACGCCAGCCATCGTTTTTGGAAATGCTACAAAACCTTCACGTTCTGCTCACTTTTGACATGGTGCACAATCCCTTGCGCCTGCCACGCGAAACGGCATCTGAACGTCAAAAAGGTGGTCCGAGCATGTGGTGTTTTTAACATTTTGACTTCGAAATGTGCTTCGCGCCACAACAGTGTGCACTTTTTCGACATCTCAACTTCCAAAAGTGGTCCGAACCCTTCAGGTCTTTACACTTTTGACTTCGACATGTGCTACGCACCACAAAGGCGTGCACTTTTTCGACATCTCAACTCCCAAAGTGGTCCGAGCATGGTGTGCTTTGTACATTTTGACTTGGAAATGTGCTTCGCGCCACAACGGCGTGCAATTTTTAATCTCTCATCTGACCACATGGCTCCCCACCCGCCGCTTTAGTGAGCCTACTTGTTGACTCCGGAGCCACAAACCATTGGAAAAAACATAGTGTTTGGCGGCTTTCCTATCTTTTTTGCGCGCCTGCATCTTCTTTCGTCTGACCCTGTCTCTTTCTCTGACTCTTCCCACCTCTGCTTTTCCATCTGTCCATATTGTCGGAAGTTTGACTTCGAACTTCCTTCGATGATGGTTTTGATTGGGAATTGTCAGGGCGCCGCGATTTTTGAATATAAACTTAGAATGCCGGCATCTACCTTGTGATTTTCATCAACAACGGATGTTATTTTTCAAGTTTTACATGCATTTTGGACACATTTTGCATTTTTTGGGGTGTTGGTTCTTAGTCAGGTTTCATCGATCTATTGAAATATGTCCACATCTAAATTTGATCAGGGATTTTACTTCCATCATGGTTTTGGCATGTCTTGACTGGGTATTTTCACGGGGATGCGTTCTAGCAATGTAGACTTAGAATGCCGGCATTGATTTTGTGATCTTGATGGAAGAATGGATGCATTTTTGGGGCACATTTTGGAAACATTGTGGGTCCTTTTGAATTTGCTGTATCTTCTCAATGAATGTGTCCAATGCTTTTGTATCTCAGATACATATTTATAGTTATTTTTGGAGTGTTTTGCACTCCCGTTTTTTTCAAGTTCCTGGCTGCAGCTTGGATTCAAACTGTTTTCTACTTCAAGAAGTTGTGTGTATAGTAGTCAAACTTTTGGAGCAAATAGTTTTTCAAAAAAAGAACATCGCAATAAGGCATCCTATATTTTGGGAAATTAGGCATTTTGAGAATTCCAAAAGAATGGAGCTAAGAAAGTAAAAACAAAAAAGTATTGGCGAAGGAAAGGAGAAGGAAAGGAGAGATTGATTTTGAAAATTTTCACCTCAAACAACAGCTAGACACAATAGAGGACCCCCACAACAAACATACTATTGAGGATCAGGGTTGCTCATGGGCTACCCCCTTGAAAAATTGTTTGAGTGTTGTTTTTTAATTGGGTTTTCGTAAGGCATCCTATATAATTAATTAACCATTATTGCTGATGGGTCATAATTACCAGAGAAAATTGTTTCTTCAGATAACAGCTGGACACAATAGAGGACCCCGACAACAAACAAATTATTCAGGATCAATAGTGCTCATTAGAAAAAGGGAATTTGAAAGAAGAAACAGAATAGAAAAATAAAACACAAAAACAGAATATTAACCGAAGGAAGTTTAGAAGTCAAATTTCCCACAATATGGACAGATGAAAAGCAGAGATGGGAAGAGGCAGAGAGAAGAGAAGAGCAGAAGAGAGAAGATGATAGAAGAGAAAGAGTCAGAAGAAAGAAGATGCAGATGCGCGAAAAGGTAGGAAAGTCGCGATTCACTGTGTCTTTCCTATGATTTGTGGCTCCGGAGGGTCGAAGAGTAGGCTCGCTAAAGCGGCGGGTGCGGAACCAGCTGGCCAGATGAGAGATGGAAAATTGCACGCCGTTGTGGCGCTAAGCACGTTTCCAAGTCAAAATGTACAAAGCACACCATGCTCGGACCACTTTTGGAAGTTGAGATGTCGAAAAAGTGCGCGCCTTTGTGGTGCGTAGCACATTTCGAAGTCAAAAGTGTAAAGACCCGAAGGGTTCGGACCACTTTTGGAAGTTGAGATGTCAAAAAAATGTACGCTGTTGTGGCGCGAAGCACATTTCCAAGTCAAAATGTGAAAAGCACTAGGGGTTCGGACCACTTTTGGAAGTTCCGTATCGAAAAAGTGCAAGCTGTTTTGGCGCCAAGCACATTCCGAAGTCAAAATGTACAAAGCACCACATGTCCGCGCCACTTTTGGAGGTTCAGATGTCGTTTCGCGTGGCAGGCGCAAGGGATCGTGAACCTTGTCAGAAGTGAGCAAAACTTGAGGGTTTTGTAGCATTTTCAACTACACTCCAATACACTACACTACAACTACAACTACACCTTCACTACATTACACTACACTACACTCCACTACACTACACTACATTCAATTACACTACACTACACTCCACTACACTACACTACATTCAATTACAGTCAATTACTCTCAGTTACACTACACTACACTACTCTGCACTTTGCTACAGTGCACTACACTACACTACACTCCACTACACTACATTACACTCCACTACACTCCACTACACTACATCACATTACGCTACACTACACTCCACTACGCTACACTACATTACATTACACCACAACTACACTACACTACATTACACTACACTACATTCCATTACACTCCACTCCACTACACTCAATTACACTACACTACATTACACTACACTACGCTACATTCCACTACACTACGCTACACTCCACTACGCTACACTACATTACCACTAACTACAACTACAGCTACATCTACAACTACATCTACAACTACAACAACAACAACAATACATCTACACTACGGTACACTACACTACACTAATTACACTACACTACACTACACTACATTACACTACATTACACTACACTACGCTGAATAACACTGCACTACACCTACACTGCAACTGCAATTGCAACTACACTACATTACATTACACTACACTAATGACACTGCACTACACTACACTACATTACACTACATCACACTAACTACAACTACAACTATATAAGACTACACTACACTACACTATACTCCACTGCACTGCACTGCACTACACTACGCTACGCTACGCTACACTACACAACGCTACAGTACACTACACTAATTACACCACACTGCACTACACGACGCAGAGAGAGAGAGAGAGAGAGAGATAGATGGATGCATAGATAGATAGGTGGGCAGGTAGGTAGAGGGTCAGAGAAAGAGACAGAAAGAGAGAGAAAGAGAAGAGACCTCAACCACCTTTCGGTCCATCAGTGGCTTCGCTCTGCCATCCGTGATTCACAACAACCAACCTCTCCTATAGGTTTCCTATTTTTGAAACTTCCGCCGCCGCCTTGTGCGGGACTACTGGTAAATTGAAAAACACGAAATAAAAAATGAAAAATAATTTTCAAAACAACTAAAAAAATGAAACACAAAAAAACTGAAAAATGCCCCAAAAAACACTTGACACAATAGCGAACCCCAATTCATTTCCACAGATCCTGAAGTATTTTGGAAAATTTTGCAGAATAGCGGACCCACCCACTAATCAGGATCCCACATTACAAAAGAACATAGGGAATTTTGAAGGCAAAACATATGAGCATTTGATTAGTTTGCTTGATCCTGTTTCAGGCCAATGGATGGGTGGAAGTCAGTCCCGGTGGCACTGCACCCACGGCTCGCTATTTTCACGCTGCTGGGTTTGATTCAACCAACAGCATACTGTGGGTCTTTGGTGGCTATGACGACACTGGTCCCCTTCTCAGTGTTGTTCAGCACGCGTACAATACTTATTGGAAAAACGTCCGTGAAATTCGGTTCGGCAAAGCAGCTAGTTTCAAGCCATGAGGCAACAATAAAAATGATCTACACTATTACGACGTGACGGTGCTCCTCGTTGTTTCTGGTTGATGACTGGGATTGGAATGTTGAGATGTTGTGAAGAGCAGGGATTCCTCTAGGTTTTCCAGCTGTGAAAATGCAGTTTTCATGTGTAGATCATCCGTATTTGCCATGTGCGCTGTGTTGTGGTTCTGCCATTGATACCTATGCACTGCCAAGACATGTCACGACATGTTCACGACGAAGGTACTTGTACCAGTTCTTATGTTTCGTTTCTTTTTTGAATTGTAGCGTGCCCATGTCAGCAAATGTCAGCAAAACTGTGAAACACTCTGTTTAATGGAAACACTCGCAACATGTTCCAACGCAAATTTCTGCTTTGTTGAAATTGGGAGAGTTGGGTGTTTTTCTCCGCTTGCGCATGTGTTTCACATTCATGGTCCCGCTGAACAAGCAGAAAAGGTGGACAACAAAGCAAGTTCTCATTTTTCATATTCTGGTATCAATAACGGAAAAAGAACATGCTGTTCTCTTGAGGTTGCATTTCCAGAGTTGCAGAACTTCTACGTACAAATAAAATAAGGAATTTTTGAAGGCCAAACATATGAGCATTTGATTAATTTGCTTGATCCTGTTTCAGGCCAATGAATGGGTGGAAGTCACTCCCGGTGGCACTGCACCTACGGTTCGCAACGAGCACAGTGCTGTGTGGAATTCGATAACCGGCGGCCTTTGGGTCTTTGGAGGCGGTGGCGGTCCCCTTCTCAGTGCTGTTGATCACGCGTACAGTACTTATTGGAAAAGCGTCTGTGAAATTCGGTTCGGCAAAGCAGCTAGTTTCAAGAAATGAGGCACCGGCAGGAAAAATGATCTACACTATTACGACGTGACGGTGCTCCTCGTTGTTTCTGGTTGATAACTGGGATTGGAATGTTGAGATGTTGTGAAGAGCAGGGACTCCTCTAGGTTTTCCAGCTGTGAAAATGCAGTTTTCATGTGTAGATCATCAGTATTTGCCATGTGCGCTGTGTTGTGGTTCTGCCATTGATACCTATGCACTGCCAAGACATGTCACGACATGTTCACGACGAAGGTACTTGTACCAGTTCTTATGTTTCCTTTCTTTTTTGAATTGTAGCGTGCCCATGTCAGCAAATGTCAGCAAAACTGTGAAACACTCTGTTTAATGGAAACACTCGCAACATGTTCCAACGCAAGTTTCTGCTTTGTTGAAATTGGGAGAGTTGGGTGTTTTTCTCCGCTTGCGCATGTGTTTCACATTCATGGTCCCGCTGAACAAGCAGAAAAGGTGGACAACAAAGCAAGTTCTCATTTTTCATATTCTGGTATCAATAACGGAAAAAGAACATGCTGTTCTCTTGAGGTTGCATTTCCAGAGTTGCAGAACTTCTACGTACAAATAAAATAAGGAATTTTTGAAGGCCAAACATATGAGCATTTGATTAATTTGCTTGATCCTGTTTCAGGCCAATGAATGGGTGGAAGTCACTCCCGGTGGCACTGCACCTACGGCTCGCTATGGCCAACGTGCCGAGTGGGATGACGCCGGCGGCCGCCTGTGGATCTTTGCAGGGAATGACGACACTGGTCCCCTTCTCAGTGTTGTTCAGCACGCGTACAGTACTTATTGGAAAAGCGTCCGTGAAATTCGGTTCGGCAAAGCTAGTTTCAAGAAACGAGGCGCTGTAAATGATTTATTTTACTATGACCTCCAGGCACGGTTGAGTGTTGCGATATTATGAAGTGCAGGGACTCCTGAAGGTTTTCCAGCTGTGAAAGGCAGCTTTGAGTTTCAGCTGCGCCATGTCTGAAAGGGGGCACGAAAGGCCGAGTGTTATCTCTGTCCATGCAAGCTGCAGCGCATTTTTTGTGGCAATTTGGTGGGGTCACTGGCTCATGGAAACAGAGCCGTTCCCTTGGGCTTAAAACCTTGTGCCTAGCACGAAGGATAAACCAGATAGCTTCAGATTTCCCACGAACCTCAGAATCTCAAATGCCCCACAGTTGCAGGCGAATGCCTGGGTGGAGGTGACTCCAGGAGGCGCTACTCCAGGTGTGCGGAATAATCACCATTCGGCAATCGATGCCAGTGCGGGTCGCCTCTACATCTACGGTGGAGCTCACGGCGAGCGGGGCGGGAAAGCGCTTTCGCTTTGCTACACTTTCAGTTGAGTGTTTGCACTGAAAAAAACCGAAACTTTCGTACGATAAAGCCAGTGCACAATGGACCCAATGGACCCAATGGACCCAATGGACCCAACATCAATTCAATTTATTTTTCAGCCCATTCACCATGATCATGGCTGGATACTGGTGGTCTCTTCATGTTCATCTCTGTGCAGACGGCGGCGTGACGCTTTTGTACGTCGAGATTGAGGCACAGACTGCCGTGTTGCCAGGCATCAAGCCATACCCAGCCTTCACACCTGACACAAGAATCATGGCTGAGACAAATCTGCCAGGACCAAACAACGACCACCACAGTGAGCAGTGGCTCTGACTGAAGTAATTATGAAAAGTCCGGTGTTCATCCCTGTTTCTGTGTTATGAGTCCCATTCACCAGCCAAAGCGAGCTGCAGCATTGTGGTGACGCTGGACCAGTCAGTTTTCTTGAAGGCCCCAGTTTCATGTCGAAAGTCCAAAGTTGACTGCCAAAGCTTCACGACATCGGGCAGGTGCTCGTAAAGCAGCAATCTCTTTGAAACAGTTGGGGATATTGATTTCCGGTAGGGTAGTCCTGGGGATATGATTGGTATGTTATCCGCGAAGATCCGGGGTGCGGTGTGATGGCGTGGCTCTATTCCAGACACAGAGTCACAGAACCAGACAACTTCCAAGATTCAAGATTGTAGCCTCAAAAAGATAGCTGTATTGTTTTCGCAGTCGCACACCTCATTCTTGGTACTGTGTAGTTTGGCCCATTGATCCATTGACATCAGTGGTATCAAACACAGTAGCATTGGGCATGGAATCTCTGAGGTAGCGCGACGCGTACCTCCACCAGCAGCGCCACGAGGACCATCACCACCACCACCAGCCAAACAATTAGCAGCACCACCACAGGAACTGCAAGCACCACCGGCACCACCACAACCACACGCACCGGCAGCACCACAACAACAGCAAGCAGCAGCACAAGCACCAGCACCACCACAATTAGCAGGACGAGCACCAGCACCACAACAAGCAGCAGCACGAGCACCAGCACCACAACAAGCAGAAGCGCATCAACAAGTAGCACAAGCAGCACTAGCAGCACCACAACAACTTCCATCACCACCAGCACCTCCACAAGCACCACAAGTACCTCAACAAGCCGCAGCGCCACAACCAGCAGCAGCAGCAGCAGCAGCACAAGAAGCACAAGCATCACCAGCAGCAGCACCACCAGTACAACAGCAACATCCACCCGCACATCGAAGACAATGTCAACCACCACCAGTTCAACATCAACAACAACCACAACAAGCACACAAAGCAGCACAACAACAGCAACCCTCACAACATCCACAGCAACACACACCACGGCCACCGACTCCACCACGACAACATCGTCCATATCCAGCTCTACCACCAGCCCCACTACGACGACAAAAACAGGCACTGCAATTCCTGAGGGTGGCCTGACAATCGAAGAACTCGAAGCACTGGAAGAGAAAAGAAAAGAAGAAGCAGCGCAGGCAGTTGCAGCAGTAGAAGCAGCTGAAAACAACGCAGTTGCGGAAGCCATCGCTGCGATCGCGCTGCAAGGCAATGCCAGTGCCAGCGCCCCCAGCGCCCCTGGCATCCTGGGAGAGGTCACCATCTCCTCAGAGGCTGGACCTGTGAAGGTGGCCGCGCTGTCCCTGGAAGAGCTGGGGAACGACAGTGTCCCGATCAAAGTCAGTGCCGGTGAAACAGGTGGGGCAGTGGGAGATGACGGGGCCATCGTTTTGAACCGGGACTCAGCACTTAATATGAATCGTTTGGTTTCAAAGTGGTCGCTCCGTCGTGTTCTTCCTGTTTCAACCTGCAGACCTCGGCAGTTTTGAAACGCTTTGGATGTCGAAAAAATGGATTTTGCAGGTGCGGAACTGGAGGTCAGTGCAGGGCTGCTGGGTGAAGTTGCCGCAGCTGCAGGCAGTGATGTAGTGCTGCTGAGTGCCTTTGATGCGGATGAAGATCACCCAGGCTGCAGTATTCATGTTTTTTTTTCCAACATGATTCAGCATTTCCTTCCAGGATCCAATTCTGGCCCCACATGAATGACACCCAGGGTGATGAAGGGTAGTCGTTCGAAGGAAGGGAATGATTTTGGCACGGGCCAAAGAAAGGTTCATGTGGTTTCTCCCAGGACGGGGTTTCTGAGTTCGAGACATCACCCAGATGGGGAAAAAATGTGAAAATTGGGAAAACCACATGTACGGCCGTGAAAATAGTATGTGGAAGGTGAAGATTTAGGCCATGAAATTGTTGGGCGGCCTCTTTTCCAATACCTCCAATCTGTTTGGATGTCTTGGAACTGCATGTGAACTGTGAATTAAGTATTCGTGAACATTTGTTTGGGAAAGCCCCTCGGTTGTGACGCGGAAATTTCCCTCGGATGTGACGCGGACGCGTTTCCTCGGATATGACGCGTGCCCTCGGTTGTGACGCGAGGTGTGTTTTTGCGTGGCAGGCGTGGCACTTGGTGCCATGGATGGTCCCCTTGTGTGGCACGTGTTGTGCATCTGTGGGCTTGCCCAGCTTTTCTTATGTTTTTTGTGCTCCTTTCTCCGTTGGCTGTGCTTCTGTGCTCCTTTCTCTCTCTGGTGCTCCGGTTTGCCCACTGAGCGGCCCAAATCCTTCAAAACGGACCTCCCCAGCTCTTCCACTCTTGGTCTGCTTGTCTGTGCTCCTTGCTCTTTCTGGTGGGCCCTTCTTGGCGACTGAGCCGCCCGAAATCCTTCACAGCGGGCTGCCCCAGCTGTTCTCTTGTTTTTGTGCTCCTTTCTCCGTGGGCTTCTGTGCTCCTTTCTCTCTCTGGTGCTCCGTTTGGGCCGCTGACCCCACCCCCCCACCCCACCCCAATAGTGAACCATGATGACCGTGCAGTGCTTGCGTGATGAGGGTGCAGTGCTTGTGTGCGCGCGGGTACATGAACGTTATTATCCCACCTCACGCCACCCCACCCCACCCCACCCACCCCAAAACCCTAAAAGGCAATGGTGTCGCAACTGAGGGGAAAATGGTGTCGCAACTGAGGGAAAATCAGGGGCGTTTTTTGGTGTCACATCTGAGGGAGATTTGGTGTCACAACTGAGGGGCTTACCTTCAAGCCCATCTGTATGAACAAATCTTGCTAGTTCAAATGATTATGCACATGAGGGAAATTGCCGAATGCAGTTATCACCCAAAAGAATTGTCTTGTACATCCAAAAGAATCTGTTGAGCTTCCAAGTCCCTGTTTAGCTGGCACTTTGTCAAAGTGCTCGTTTGGGCATGAACCTTCGCCAACTTTTTTTTATCTGACCCACCGTGCTTCCACCGTCCCATCAGTTCGATACAAAAGAGCGGAAAGCTGAAATCTGTGAAAAGCGCATGAAGGACTTTGATGGACGCACGCAAACGCAGTGAAAGTGTGAGAAACTTTGATGGTTTAAGAAAAGCCATGACTGCTCCCATGATGAATGGTTCAAAGAACCTAGTGAAGTAGCCATAGATCGGGTCCTGTGAGCCAGGTATTTGTAGGTAAGACACACCATCTTTGCATGAAGTGCTCGTTTACTCAGTTTACTCAGTTTACTCAGTTTGCTTTTGAAATAATTTGGCACCTGGGAAAAGGTTGGAATCTCTTGCGGTCGCCGAGGTGTCGCGGGCCTTCCACAGGACGCCGCCGACCGCCTTGCGACCGATGACGTCCGCGCGGAGTCGCCGGATCCGGGTCCCGCGGGTGCCCCGGGTGCCAAGGGTCCAGGTGGTGCGCGGCGGCTGGCGTCGGCTCTACGGTCGCAGCCCCTGAGTATCAATTTTCGTGCGGCCGATGGTTCCTTGACAGAACAGCTGTGCTGTATCCCGGGAGATTTCTAATGAGATTCCCATTTTTGGTGGCGGTGAACGTTTTATGAAGCGTCATTTTTTGGTGGTTTACAGCGTCTACCAGTTATATAGTTTAAAAGAAAGGTGATGCAAACAGGCAAGGGGTTCCTTCCATGTTGTGGGGCCCAGATTTTTGCAATCGTTCAGCGGGAATGAAATTCTACTGTGTTTGGGGCAGCAGGTACATGTCAGATATCTTCAAGTTAGCCCCCGCTGCAAAGCCCGAAGGATATTTGACCTTTGGCTTTTCCCGACCTGCCAGGTGAAATTTTGAGAATTGTATTCAATTTGTCGGATCATTCTTCAATTGGCTGATGATATTTTTGGGTGTGGCATTGAGTTTGTCAAAGGTTTGGAAGTTGGTTGTTTTTGCCATGCGGCTGATACGGCGCCCTTGGAAGGGTTGCCAATTTGGAGATGTGCCATTTACGATCCCTTGGAAGGTTGCAAATTTCAAAAATGATGCTTGCGCAAATGGGGGTATAGGATTTGTTTTTATTTTTAGTTTTTAACATGTTGCACATGCTGCCGTATGATCATCAGGGGGGTGGGAGTGGGGGGTGGGGGGGTGTATTAACGTTCTTGACGAGCACTTCCTTTACGTTACGGAAGATGTGCACGCTGCACATGCTGTCGTATGATCATCAGGGGGGTAAATCATTTTCAAGACTAACAAAATATCTTTACTAAGACTTATCATTTTCGAGGTCGTTTGTGGGGTAAATCCTATAGAAGCATTGTTACTGGTACTCAACACATGGATGGAACATGGAAACATTTGAGAAAATGGCGACCTCCGTCGATGCTCCACAAACTAGACGACGGATGGCCCGAGAGCGTAGAGGAGCAGGGCCTTCTCTTGTTAGTATGGAGACACCATATTACAAAACTATATATTAAAGACGTGTTATAGGCAGTCGAGAAGAGGAGTATCAAGACAATATAGCACAAGTACAAGACAATAGTTTGCATCGCAAACACTTTTACACACAGAAGCTTTTACACAGAGCAAGCTTTTACACAGAGAACCCCTTACACAGAGAAGCTTTTACACACAGAAGCTTTTACACACAGACACTTTTACACACAGACGCTTTTACACACAAGGCACTTTTACACACAGACACTTTTACACACAGGTGCTTTTACATACAGACAGTTTTACACACAGACGCTTTTACACCCAGTTGCTTTTACACAGACGCTTTTACACACAAAGCTTTTACCCACAGTAGCTTTTACAGACAGAAGCTTTTACACACAGACGGTTTTACACAGACGCTTTTACACACAGACACTTTTACACACAGACGCTTTTACACACAGACACTTTTAACACAGACCCTTTTACACGCAGGAGCTTTTACACACAGAAGCGTTTACACGCAGACGCTTTTACACACAAAAGCTTTTACACACAGAAGCTTTTACACATAGACGCTTTTACACACAGACACTTTTACACACAGACGCTCGTACACACAAACGCTTTTACACCACAGACGCTTTTACACCACAAACGCTTTTACACGCAGACAGTTTTACACACAGACGCTTTTACACACAGACGCTTTTACACACAGCCGCTTTTACACGCAGACGCTTTTACACACAGACAGTTTTACACACAGACGCTTGTACACACAGAAGTTTTTACACACAGACGCTTTACACCACAAACGCTTTTACACACACAAGCGTTTACACACAGATGCTTTTACACACAGACGCTTTTACACCCAGCCGCTTTTACACGCAGACGCTTTTACACACAGACAGTTTTACACACAGACGCTTTTACACACAGAAGCTTTTACACACAGACGCTTTTACACACAGAGACTTTTACACACAGAAACTTGTACATAAAGATGCTTTTACACACAGACGCTTTTACACAGACGCTTTTACACACAGACACTTTTACACACAGACGCTTTCACACACAGACACTTTTAACACAGACCCTTTTACACACAGGAGCTTTTACACACAGAAGCGTTTACACACAGACGCTTTTACACACAGATGCGTTTACACACAGCTTTTCCATACTTCGCCGGATAACATGAAAATCGCAATTTTACCTCAGTTTTTGGCGCTCGAACCTCGTTTCGTGCGAAAGGGTTGCGACGGGAACCCAGAAATCGCAATTTTACATCAGTTTTTGACGATCGAACCTCATGTCGTGCGAAAGGGTGCGCGGGACGACTTGCAAATCGCAATTTTACATCAGTTTTTGGCGATCGAACCTCGTTTCGTGCGAAAGGCGGGACAAGTTGAAATCGCAATTTTACATCAGTTTTTGACGATCGAACCTCGTTTCGTGCGAAAAAGGGTTGCGCGGGACAAGTTGAAATCGCAATTTTACATCAGTTTTTGACGATCGAACCTCGTTTCGTGCGAAAGGGTTGCGCGGGACAAGTTGAAACCGCAATTTTACATCAGTTTTTGACGATCGAACCTCGTTTCGTGCGAAAGGGTTGCGCGGGACAAGTTGAAATCGCAATTTTACATCAGTTTTTGACGATTGAACCTCGCTTCGTGTGAAAGGGTTGCGTTTCGTGCCGTCTGCCCCCGCCTTCAGAAGAGAAATAGAAAAGAAGGGGAGGGCAAGAGGGCAAGAGGGCAAGAGGGCAAGAGGAGAAGATGTGAAGATGTGAGGATGTGAAGTTGTGAAGATGTGAGGATGAGAAGATGTGAAGAAGAGGGCAAGAGGGCAAGAGGGCAAGAGGAGAAGATGTGAAGAAGTGAGGATGTGAAGATGTGAAGATGTGAGGATGAGAAGATGTGAAGATGAGCAGATGTGAAGATGTGAAGATGTAAAGATGAGCAGATGTGAAGATGAGAAGATGTGAAGATGTGAAGATGTGAAGATGAGAAGATGTGAAGATGAGAAGATGCGAAGATGAGAAGATGCGAAGATGTGAGGATGTGAATATGTGAAGATGATGAGAAAATGTGAAGATGAGAAGATGTGAAGATGAGAAGATGCGAAAATGAGAAGATGTGAAGATGTGAGGATGTGAATATGTGAAGATGATGAGAAAATGCGAAGATGAGAAGATGTGAAGATGAGCAGATGTGAAGATGAGCAGATTTGAAGATGTGAAGATGAGAAGATGTGAAGATGAGAAGATGTGAAGATGAGAAGATGTGAAGATGAGAAGATGAGATACAGACCCCCACTATTGGAAGAACCCTGCGCTCAGACGCTCTCGGGAAAAAAAAGGTGTACAAGAAAAGGTCCACTTGGGCCTACAGCTGGACATGGCGTCACAACGCTGCCTTGTTGCAGACTGTGGCTTCTGCGTTGCCACAAGTGCTCTGGCACCGCTAGCGTCGAGAAGAGGAAGAAACTAGAAGAGTGAATGCCGCCCTGATATGATTCGGATGGTTGAAAATCATAGATTTCTAATGTTTTTTTTTGACCCTTGAAGAGCAAAATCGAGTCACCGCAGAGGCAAAACGCAAATTTTTACTCTTGAGTCACACGCCTGCCAATCGAAATGAATGTCCATGTTGCATGACTCCTGCAAATACCAGCATTTTGTCTCTTACCCTTACAAAGGCGCCGAGTCAACCGGTTGCCTTGTTTTTGAATCTGTCCCCCACAAACTGGTATGACTGCTTTTGTCAGTGCCACTACTCTCTGCGTATCGATTTGGCCTTGTCGCGATGGACCGTGGACTTCCGCCGGGTCCGAACAGCCGGGCGACTTCGCATGGCTCTCTGGGCCCGACAGGACCTGAACATTATGCCAGTTTCAATGCCAGATTTAGAATGTCAGAATATATGTCAGGCAGAATATCAACATATATGTCGATAGGATGCCAGATAGAACTTGAGATAAAATGGCAGAACGAATGTCAGAATAGCTGTCGGAATACATGCCCGACCAAATGCCAATGTCTATGTCAAAAAATATGGCCGGAATAATTTAGAATATATGTTATACGTCAGAACAATTCAGAAAATATGTCAGGAAATGTCAGACAGAATGTCAAAAGATATGATAGACTGCCAGATACTGTAAAATGCTAGATAGAAGGTCAAAATATCTGTCAGACTATTTATTACTTTATATAATTTATATACATAACTTATATTAAATAAGTAAATAAATAAAATAAATAAATAGATAAATAAGTATATATATATATATAATATTATATATATAATATTAAATATTGTATATATATATAGATGTGAGATTATATGTCAGATAGAATGCCACAATTTATGTCAGATATGTCAGTTGGTGGGGATGGCTGGAGGATAGTACTGTAATTCTGCTCTGGGTGTTCCAACTTCTTTTTCCCGGTGAGGGTTGTTAGATTTTACCACAGTTGTTCTCCTCCTCCGCCTCCTCCTCCTCATCCTCCACCTCCTTCTCTCCTCCTCCTCCTCCTCCCTCTCCTCCAGCTTCTCCTCCACCACCTTTGCATCCACTCCCATGTTCACTTCCGCCTTGCCAACTTTTCGCCAAGCTCTTCGCCAACTTCCCCACGCAGTGGGCACTGCTGGACCTAAACTGCAAGGGTCTGAGCGCACTGGGCACCGCTGGACCTCAACCTGGGACCTTCCGAGCTCAGTGAGCACCGCTGGACCTCAACCTGGGACCGTCCGAGCTCAGTGCGCACCGCTGGACCTCAATCTGGGACCCTCCGAGCTCAGTGCGCACCGCTGGACCTCAACGGCCAGATAGAATGCCAGAAGATATGCCAGATAGAACGCCAGATAGAATGTCAGAAAGAATGCCAGAAGATATGCCAGATAAAGTGCCAGAATGTTTGCCAGGTAGAATGCCAGAAGATATGCCAGATAGAATGCCAGAAGGTATGCCAGATAGAATGCCAGAAGGTATGCCAGATAGAATGTCAGATAGAATGCCAGAAGGTATGCCAGATAAAGTGCCAGAATGTTTGCCAGAAGATATGCCAGATAGAGTGTTAGAAGATATGCCAGAACATATGCCAGGTAGAATGCCAGAAGATATGCCAGATAGAATGCCAGAAGATATGCCAGATAAAATGCCAGAAGATATGCCAGATAGAATGCCAGAAGGTATGCCAGATAGAATGTCAGATAGAATGCCAGAAGGTATGCCAGATAAAGTGCCAGAATGTTTGCCAGAACATTTGCCAGATAGAATGTCAGAAGATATGCCAGAAGATATGCCAGATAGAGTGCCAGAAGATATGCCAGAACATATTGCAGAAGATATGCCAGGTAGAATGCCAGAAGATATGCCAGATAAAATGCCAGAAGATATGTCAGATAGAATGCCAGAAGATTTGCCAGTAACAAAACGTATAGATGTCATGGTGGGGATAACTCGAAGTAAAGTAATTTGGACGTCCCGCGCTTTCAGGGACAAAAATCAACGTCAACAATTTGACCACCCCAATGAAGATGACGCTGACGGTGGAAGCTTGGCAGAGCACCCGGAATCTGGAGACGTCCAGCTTTAATTGTGTTTGCGCCAAGGCATTTGGGGTATTACACCCTCACATAAGATTTCTTTAAATGTTCAACATGACCAAAACTGGGGGTTCGGGGCTCAGTTTTAGCATTGAACCGGGAAGAGGTCCGCTGTCCGCAATTCTCATGGATCAAGCAATCATACCTAGCAGCAAATCCCTGAATAAGTACAAACCTGATTGACCATGACGGAAGGATAAGATAGGATAAGTGCAACTTAACATTTCACTGCCTGAGCATTGTCGGCCCAGGAGGATCCCACAGCGACCTGCGCCTTTTTGGGATGGGGCGACGGCGCAGTGGTCAGCGAAAGGTGTGCAGACGATTCCCTCCGAGGCGCCAAAGGATGAAGTGAAGGATGATGAAGGCAGTGTTGTTTCTTGATTATCATGACTATGCTTCTATGATTTCTATGATGTCGATTTCAGAGGATGTTGCACCATTGCTGTGGGCATCCCTACAGTACCTTTCAAAGGGTAAAGCAGTTCTCAAAAGAGTGCAGCATTCCTGGCAGTGCCATCACTACAGTAGAAATCTTCAACAAATGCAGCAGTACGTTCAAAGAGGCCTGCTAATTGTGCAGTATTACTCTAGAAAGGGATGCCGCGCTTGAGAGAACTACTTGATGACCCAGAAGTGTCCAATCCATGCAGAACTCTTCCGGAACATGGATTCCTGCAATACTCATCAAAGCAAAGTATGTCAAATTTAGGATTGGGAAGGGGGTAGCGGCATAATTATATATATATATTATGTATATAATTGTCGTATTGTATCGTGTCCAGATCTGTTTTTAACGTTTAGAAATTTATTTCTACTGTATTGCTTTTACACACAAAGATGTATAAATATATATATATATATACATGCATAGGTATTTAACTGCACACATATACAGTATATTTTTCTATTTATGTCATTGTTTGTTTTCAAAAAATGCAGCTTATGGTTTTTGGACACACATATTTTGTTTTGATTTTCGAGATGTGCGATATGATATCATTTGACAGATGTATGATATATTGACAGTTTACAAATAATATCTACCCTTATGTATAGGTTGCCTGTTCATGTTTATTTGTTCACGTACTGTACATTACATACTTTCTAAAGTATACACATGCTGGATGAAAACAATGTTTTATATACTGCTGGAATGCAAATATTTTACACATACATATTTACATGCAGTTACATGCATACATACAAGTGTATGCACACGTACATGCATGCATAGATGCATACATGTAAACAGCAGATATCTTTACATAGTCCCACCCGGGTGACGATGGCACGGACGCAATTCCACCTCCCTCCAGATACCGGGGATCCTGGAGTGCGAAACCACTCACTTGTCGATCTTCGGTGGCGTCGTCGGTGTAGCATTGAACCTTGGGAGTCTACAAAAAGCTTGGGTTTTGACCAAACATGGAACTGAACCATCAAAAAAAATGATTTTCTGGTCATATGATTTTGTCCAGAGGTAAGCCCCAAAGTGGCCAATTCAAAAGGGAACGCGATGACAAACCAATGGCTTTGGGGGGTATTAATGGCTTTGCATTCTTTTTTGGGATGCGGTTGATGCTAATCCAGGATTAATGTTCACCCTGAAGGGGAAACCATTCTTAGCAAAGGATGACTGTCGGTCTTTGGGGGTAATCAGATAAGGTTTATCATGTCAGGATAGACACCAACTGTGACCCTTGTGAATCTTGGGAATGCAAGGCCCCAAGAATCCATCATTGTTTTTTAGGCCGGAAGCATTTGGAAACACATGTTTCTTGGTTCTCCGAGTTGATGGAAAAATTGGAAATGACAGAGGGCACCATTAGCAGCCAACTTCATTCCTGCCGCGAATTAACAATCATGTGTGCTAAGCAGATGTGGGTTAGCGGGGGGACCTGTCAAATGGCTACAACTCAGCATCGTTGCATGACCAGCGCAATGCAGGACAAGCCAAATTCAGCATCAACAATGGCCACTACAATCCGTTGGTGTTTAGTTCCCACAAACTGCTTTCAAAGGAAATTTAGGCAGAAAATTTTGTATTTGAAGGGAACGCCCGGCAAAACCAATTGTTGGCTGCACAAGCTACCCGCAGTCCTTGGCCCAATGGCCCAGGCGCAACGTGATTCTTGCGCTGGAGTGCAGTACCTTCTCAGCTCTTCAGCGGGTTCTTCATTTTGTGAATTTCTGTTTGGAACATATTTTTTTCATTATTTTTCTTTTCCACCTGCCAGTCTCTAGATTTTGGCACACACACACCATGGCGAGCTTGCCAGCTTTCTGAGGCGCGTCAAAAAAGATGCCAGGTAGGTGGAATGCCAGATACTGTAGAAAGAATGTCAGAAATTGTGTATGTCAGATGATGCCATGTCCGATAGAATGTCGGATAGAATGTTGGAAATACGCCAGGTAGAAATGCCAGATAGAATGCCAGATAGAATGCCAGATAGGATGCCAGATAGGATACCAGAAAATATGTTAGGTTTAATGTCAGATAGAATACCAGATATCGAATGCCACAATATGTGTCAGGTAAAATGTCATGTAAGATTATAGATTGCCAGGTAGGCTGCCACAAAATATGTCAGAGGAATGAATGCCAGATCAAATGGCAGAATACGTGTCACATAGAATGTCAGATAGGATGCCAGTTAAAATGTGATAGAGATTGTCAGAAAAGATGTCAGATAGTATCGCAGAGAAGATGCCAGATAGAATGAATGTAAGAATATATTCAATATGTGAGGATACATGCCGCGGTGGGGACCACATGAAGTAAAGTAATTTGCAATGGAAGTTCCTTGGCCGAACTGGTCAGAACGATGCAAAACGCTTGATTCCGGGATTGAACAATGCCGTGCCTTACCGCTTTTACGGAAAATGGGCCCCACAATCTCAACAAACTTTGATCCGTTTGAGACGTATATATGTATTTATATATATAGAGTACTAATACGGATACGTATCAATACACATAATTCGATACACATAAATACACGTACATACGCAACTTCTGCAGCTTCAAGCACTTACCAGCTCCATGCTCTCTGTCTATTGTCACCATGTCCATGGTGAAGCTGCTCAGGCACTGTGGGGGCCGTGCTGACTCCGGAGGCGATGGCGAAGATGGTGGAGGACGGCGAGTGGCTGGGTCGCCCCGCGACGTTGGTGACGCTGGCGGTGGCTGTAGCCACTCAACATTTTAATTCGATGGCTTGGATGGAGGGCCGTGTCGGATAAAGATCTGGTGATCAATGGGGGCGAGCATTCCATATAAGAGCCTGATTTTGATGCGAGTTCGCCCGTTCGCCCAGGTACTGATCGCGTGAAGTGATTACCCAGATGGCCAAGACATGTGAAAGCATCAAGTAGATTTCATGACGCGTCTTGCATGTGATGTGACTTGCATGGCATGACATGACATGGAGTATAGGACGCACCTTGCATGTGAAGATGGAACTTGCATGGCATAAAATCACACGCATTGCATGACGCACCTTGCGTGTGAAGATGTGACTTGCATGGCATGCCATGAGATGGATTGCATGAGCAGGTGACATGACATGTGTTGTGCGATTAGGTATCTAGAAATGCGATGATGATTGCCTTCAAGTACAGACTTATGTCGGTTAAAAGCTAATAAGTTCTGGAAGAACTTCCATGGATGCCAATCAACAGTTTGTAGATCCATGTTTGGGCTAGGGCCGCGTCCCCTTTGGTGACAGATTTGTAGGCCCCTGAACTCTCCAATTCTCTGCCACATCAACTCCTACTGAGTCCTCCATTTATGTCGTTTGTGCTGGCGAGATGTAACTTAGTATGTTGAGATTTCTTCTGCCTCTCAGGGATTCCTGGGGCTGCTGAAGCTGGCATTACGCAGCGATCGACGATTCAAGGAAGCTCTACCGTGGGATGAGAGGGAAGATTTGCTAATGTGTGACCTGGCCGAGTCTCTTGCTAACTTCTCCACGGACTTTCGGTTCGAGTCATTACCATGAGAAATAAATATCTGATGTCCTCACCGTTTTGTCATCCTATTCATTCTCCTTTTTTTCGTTGGAATTCGACGGGAATGCTGTGTGATTTTTTGCGACTTTGGTGGTCAAAAAATAAATTCCGAAGACAAACCGACCCGATTGGTTTAAGTCGCAGCTGCTTTTACAGATTTTGGGGCTGTGGAAGGCAAGCACTGTCCTTCTCAAATGCAAATTGAGGTGTCAAGGCCAAAGCAAGTCCACAGGACATGGGCTGAATTTTAGCAGGGGTTAAGCCTTTTCTTTGGTTTTTGCGGCATTTTCTTATTGTGGGACACAAAGACTGGATCCACACACTTTGTTCGCAGTTAGGCAGCGGTGCATGTTTCAAATTGCCTTGCTATTCTCTCGGCTTGTTTGCTGTTTTTCCGCTATATACATCTCCGTACTCCAGCATGTTGCACTTGAACCCGTGTGGAACGAAGGATCCGAGAGCGGGTGCAGCTGGTGCTGGTGCAGCTGATGCAGTGGAACAGCCACCGCAAAACGAAGCAGAGCACGGGAAGATGAACGACAAGGGAGCTGATGAAGTTCAAAGAGACGGGGACGAGCAGCCCAGGGAAAACAGAGGAGACGAAGAAGTGAAGAGTGAAGAGAAGGAAGAGGAGGAGAAAAAAGACGAAGCCGCAGGCAGACTCCCAACATGTCCAACTATTTGGTTCCCAACCCATATCCGTGGGCCTTCTTGATGTTCTGCCAAAACTGACATTTTTCGACCGCGGAATGATTGTATACTTTTTATTGCTTGGATGTAAGTCTGGATTTTCATCATGCCTTGGGTTTCAACTTTTCACGCCGTGTGTTTTGAGCAGACTGCATCTCATTGCTCATTGCTCTACAAATTGTACGCCATAAGGGTTACCTATCCTTGTCGGTTAGCTGTTGTTGTTGTTGTTGTTATTGTTGTTGTCGTTGTCGTTGTTGTTGTTGCTGCTGCTGTTGTTGTTGTCGTGGTTGTGGCATTGGTTGTGGTTGTGGTTGTGGTTGTTGTTGTTGTTGCTGTTGCTGTTGTTGCTGTTGCTGTTGCTGTTGCTGTTGCTGCTGCTGTTGTTGCTGTTGTTGTTGTTGTTCTTGTTCTTGTTCTTGTTCTTGTTCTTGTTGCTTTTATTTTTGTTGTTGATCATGAAGAGGATGATGGTGTCCTCCGCACGCGCGTGCGGTCGCACAGGGAACATGGTTCAATCACGCAAAACACAATGTAGTATTTTCTATACATACCAATGCCTTTTATCCAAATCCTTAGCCAAATCCCATCCAAATCCCTAGTGCCCCTAAAAGCGTGCTTACCTTGTTTTTTGCCCTTGATATCAAAAACCACGGTATTCACAGTGTTTTCGAGACAGCCCCTTTTTTCACATGCAAGAGTTGTGAAAATTGACAGTGCTTTTGCTATTGACATGCACCAACAAACAGCAAACATGCACCAAAAAGTCTACAAAATCGAACTTCCAGACCCTACTTGGTGGCAAGCCCGCTTTTTGACCATTCTCGACCCCCTCCCAAAAACACCAAAACACAGGGGTGCTGAAGGATTGTATGGGGAAGGTCAGTGGTAGGGCGCGTAGCAAGCTATGCCTTGCTAGGTTCCTGCATACAGCATCAAGTTGCGCGTGCAATGGGCAGGTCGATCATCGCCATGTGTGTGTGTGTGCGGTAAAATGGAACTGTAGTAGGGGGTGCGTTGAGCACATGGCAAAATTCGGGTTCAACGCTAAAATCCAAAAGGTTGCGCCTGTCGCCAAAACCCAGTGGCAAGCCAGGCCACACCAAGCGTGACGCCTAGTGCAGCAGCAGCAGTAAGCAAGCAGCATGACAAAAGGATGCAAAAGGACCTTTGGGTAGCTGGAAAACGTCCCCGTCGCGGGGCCTCAGCCATGCTACTCAAGAATGGACAGGGTGCTCGCGGCCCATCCCCTGAGTGCCTTTTCTGAACTTGTGAGCCAGCAAAAAACTTTAGCTCCAAATTTGCACTCGCCATGCCTCCAGACAAGCAGCTTGGACGTTTAAAAACGTTCCCTTTGCAGGGACTTGGCGCCATGCTACTGAAGGACGGACGCGGTGCTCAGGGTCCCATCCCCTGAGTGCCTAAACCGCGGCATTCGGCGCGCAGCTGTCCTTTTCATCGCTGTTTTCCTTACTAGTTCCGATTCTTCTTCTTCTTCTTCTTCTTGTTCTTCTTCTTCTTCTTGGTCTTATTCTTCTTCCTCCACCTCCTCTTCTTCCTCTTCTTCTTCTTCTTCTTCGTTTTCCTTTTGTTCTTCTTCTTCTTCCTCCTCCTCCTCTTCTTCTTCTTCCTCTTCTTCTTCTTCTTCTTCTTCTTCGTCTTCTTCTTCTTCGTTTTCCTTTTCTTTTTTTTCTTCCTCTTCCTCTTCTTCTTCTTCTTCATCTTCCTCCTCTT